TGTTTTTTTTAAAGAAGTTTTTATGTATAGTGCTGTATTATTGTTTATTAGAAATGTATTTTTCTCTGCTGAAATAATTATATTTTGTGGTTTCCATATATCACCTTTTCTCCATCATGATTTTATTAAGAAAAATATTCCTTCTGATTGAACTACCTGATCTCTTTGTTCTCGCAGCTAAGACTTAGTGACACTTCTGGAACAAGTTATTTTCCCTTAGTTATGTGTGTTATGTTTAGGTTTCTTGTGTATTAAAAATGTAGCACTTCAGCTCAAGCTTCATTCTGTTATACATCGATTAGTAATTGTGTTACTAATATTAATTATATTTTTTGGTGTTCTGCATTCTTGTGCTATCCTAACGCTTCATTGAGATTTTTGTTTGATAGCTGTAAATAAATATTGAACCTGTTTAGTGTTGGAGCAGAAACTTTCTGTTTTATTGGGTTTCCTTAATTATGTAGTTGTTTTTGAAGACGTATATTTTTTTTCCTTTCGGTAATTTTTTAAAAATAGTGTTACACTTTTGCATCTTAGCAGGGGAAAACAGCGCATGCCTCTTGCATTTAAACTTATACTGTCAAGTATCTTTCAGGAGTTATTGCATGTTTGTTATTAGTACTTGGAGTGCTGATGCTGTTGATTGGCTTCAGTTGCAGAAGTGATTGCTTCATTAGGAATAACATGATCCAGTGTTTAACTGTTAGACTGTCTGTGATGGAGGGATATTCTGTATAGTTATGTATGCTTGGAGAAATTAGATGTTTATAGTATTTATTTTCATCCTGTTTGTTGGTGGTTAGCTGAAGTGTAATACAGCTGCACCGTATTTCATTGATAGATAACATATGTTGTGGCCTGTGGAAAGTAGAGACATATCCTTATTTCTCTGTGAATATACAACTGCCTATCATGTTTTCTTGTAATGTATTTTCTTTTTAATGGCAAGTTGAAACTTATGAATCCCTTTGGGCATCGGAATACCAAAAAACTAAGCCGAACACCCAGGTCCTGACCTGAGTGTTGTACTGAATCATGATTTACTTACAGCTTAATTCCCTTCCCTGCAGATTGGAAATGTCAATATCACTCTTGTACAGCCAGCTGGTATCTGAATTTGGAGAGGGGTAGCAGTGTTCTGCAGCATAGTCCCCACAAGGATGTGGCCTTTTTGGGGGTCAGAAAAAATATATAACTTTCCTGCGATTGATTCAAGCCCCTTTCAGGGCTTCAGTGACCTGAATGCCATTGCATTAAGCTTGGGGGTTGAAACTGAAGACTGCAGAAAGATTCCCTGAGTGACAGCTGATCAACTGATAATTCTGTTCTGAATATACCTAATATGTTGAGGATTTTATTTCATGTTACTCTGACAGACTTGATGTTTGTTGACTTTTCATGTTATTGTGAGAGACTTGATGTTTGTTGACTTTTCATCAGTAAATTAACGTTAGGTAAATAAACAATACTTGACACTAGTTTATTGGCCATTCTGCATTTGGTGGGAGAGATCATGCCAGCTGCCTTTACTTCCCATACTGAACTGCAGTAATTTTACCTTCAGAACTGAGTGCAGAATCACTACCCGGTGTCTGTAGATATCAGTTTTAACTCCAGTAAAGTACTTTAACATAACTGTAGACTTCAGTGATCACTTGATAAATATCTGTTCAGTTGAGCTTTTATATTTTCTGTTTTCAAACTGCATGTAGAAACTGGTATCTTTCCTACATTCCCTTCTTGTTTTTGGAGATAGAGAGAGAATGTGTGTTGCCTTCTGTAATGTTATTTATTGTCTCAAACATTTAATTATTTTTTTATTCTTTAAAACGAAGATGACAATTTTCTAAAAAAATTGCCTGCAAGAAAATAGCTTTTAAAACCATTTGATGACTACGTTCAATACATTCAGAATGACCATCGTAGGTTTTGAAATGCGTGCACAAAAGAATTTCTTGAATGTTGCCAAAACATGAGAAATAAGTGTTCAGTGTTTTAAAGTGTGATGTGTTTTTCAATTATTGGTCAGTGAAATGTGGTTGTACTTCTTTGTGATGTTGCTTAGTAGAAGTTATCTGGTTGCACATGGGCCAGACAGCCAGAAGGTACACTATTTATGGTTAGTTCTGTAAATTATTCCCGGGTAATATTTTTAGTATGTTTGTGGGAATGAGTCTCTAATAGTCCTCCTCATCATCATCATCTAGCTTGTCTGATGCTGTAGACATTCACATCTCTTCACATTTCTTCTGCATCTACCCTCCAAAGGGTGGTTGGTACATTGTATTGTGGTTTACAACTAAGCTGTAATATCTTCACCTTTCGGCCCAATACATCTGATTTCGGCAAATTCTTAGTTAATCACCTTTTATGAAATGCTTGAGGAGCAAAGGACTGATTCTTCTGTCCCCAAACATGCGGCTCTAGATCCCACATGAATGTCATGTATCTTAATGCTTGGTTTTCTGAATCTTCTTTTTTGCGTATACTGGTTGTGGACTCCGGCACAGAGTTCTAATTATTTGTCCACTTCTGGACCTTAGTCCTGTTCCAGATCTTGGGTTTTGTCTGCACATCTGTTTTAATTATCTGGCTTGTGTATATGCAGACTCTTGGTTCCTCACCATACCTCTCAGGTAGATGCACTCTGACTTCAAAAGTAATTTTTAACCAATATATTAGGGCCTCAGAATCACACAAGGAGTTTTCTGAATCAGTTCTTTTGAACTGATTTCTACATGCCAGTCTTAAACCATCCTACATAAAAATTATTTCTTGAAATCTGCTTTTAACTGTTCTGTCATTGAACATTTCAACTAAGATATTATTTTTATGCCCTGACCAATGAACACTGATTCTTTTTTGTTATTTATATGTTTTGCTGATTCTTTGTTGTTATTTATATGTTCTGCTGATTCTTTGTTGTTATTTATATGTTCTGCTGATTCTTTGTTGTTATTTATATGTTCTGCTGATTCTTTGTTGTTATTTTTATGTTCTGCTGATTCTTTGTTGTTATTTATATGTTCTGCTGATTCTTTGTTGTTATTTATATGTTCTGCTGATTCTTTGTTGTTATTTATATGTTCTGCTGATTCTTTGTTGTTATTTTTATGTTCTGCTGATTCTTTGTTGTTATTTATATGTTCTGCTGATTCTTTGTTGTTATTTATATGTTCTGCTGATTCTTTGTTGTTATTTATATGTTCTGCTGATTCTTTGTTGTTATTTTTATGTTCTGCTGTCATTAGCCTTTCCCGGGTTATTGCTTTAGTTACTCTGTTACCCACGGAACGTTTATCTTGGAATCTTAGCTGCCTCCAAACTAGCTAACACATTTGTTCTCATTCCAAGATTTACTCGTGTATAACCCAACAGATTTGACACAATATTTCAGGAGAATAAAAGAAAGAAGACAGACACATTTTTTTTAAACATGTTGCATACCAAATATTATCCTGGGGAAGTAAAGACGGCAGGGGTAGTACTGACCACATTACACACATAGTGCCGGTTGGTCTGTAAAAATATGGATTGTGCTTCCCATATGCCTGATGCGCGTAAGGCGTGAAAAATGATCTTAACCTCACTTTTACTATATCAAATATAACATTTCTGGCACAGTAAAATTAATAGTTTCTACATTCTCAGAAAATCAGTGGACATTTTGAGAAAGAGCAGAAACATTTTCTACATTGAGATGTTCATTGCAAAGGGAATTAAAAAACATGCAGAGAAAATAGATGGACTTTTGTAAACATTTCCTAAATGAAAGTTTAGCAGACCTGGATGCAATATTTTGACTAGTTGTATTGCCAAGCCTTATTTGTGCTTACTTGCATAAACCACACTCATTAAAACTCAGGAGAGAAAAATCCCGGACTCTTGAAATCATGACATACAAGAAAGTGTAACAAACCAGAATGTTATCACACTCATTAAAACCCAGGAGAGAAAAATCCCGGACTCTTGAAATCATGACATACAAGAAAGTGTAACAAACCAGAATGTTATCACACTCATTAAAACCCAGGAGAGAAAAATCCCGGACTCTTGAAATCATGACATACAAGAAAGTGTAACAAACCAGAATGTTATCACACTCATTAAAACCCAGGAGAGAAAAATCCCGGACTCTTGAAATCATGACATACAAGAAAGTAACAAACCAGAATGTTATCACACTCATTAAAACCCAGGAGAGAAAAATCCCGGACTCTTGAAATCATGACATACAAGAAAGTGTAACAAACCAGAATGTTATCACACTCATTAAAACCCAGGAGAGACAAATCCCGGACTCTTGAAAACAGGACATACAAGAAAGTAGCAAACCAGAATGTTATCACACTCATTAAAACCCAGGAGAGAAAAATCCCGGACTCTTGAAATCATGACATACAAGAAAGTGTAACAAACCAGAATGCTGTATTTAAAAATATGAGAAACAGTATTGTCAGATCTTCACATACCTACTCAAGTACATTACACGTTAAACATTCATACATGACCTAACCTTTATATATAGTTTTATTCACATTATTTTATTTTTTATTTTTAATCTTTTTGCCTGCTAATTTTCATATGTGTTCATATTTACAATTATTTCACTCCACAAACAATTTTTTGTGTTTGTGTGTGCAAATTATTATTTCCTAATCAAGCTGTTTCATTTCTTAACATTCATTAGGAATCATGACTTCAGAATTTACTTTAAGGCTGTTGAATTTGCTCAGCAATCATAATTTCTACTCCACCTCCAACCTCTCAGATTTGGATTGAGGAGAATATTTGATCTGGCAGACAGAAAAATATGCTACTCATTATATTGTCTGGTTTTATGATTGCTGACTGCTGTGCATCATATTATTTTGTCTGTGCTTTTAGCTTACCCATTTGCCATGGCAGCCTGTGACAAGCACAGTTAAATAATATTGTGAGCAGTGTCACAGCAAATTGCATAACGTCGCCCTGTGCTTCTTTCATCTAATCATTTGTAGATTCAAGGTGAACTTTGGACAGCAGGATCCCTGGTTTCCTCCTCCGATGGGGTTCAGATACGTCGGACACCTACAGTTGATGGAGAGAGTTCGGGGTATGACCCCGCCGGCCAGAAAATCTGACTGCGAGGTAAATCTAGAGGCACCAGAAATATAGTCAGGGGAGATCATTAGTTCTTATATTTTTTTTGGTCCACATGCAAACTGTTTCGATGTTCTTCCTCTCAGTTACTGCAGGTGTATTAGCTGCCTTGATATTAGATTCGCAGATGACTCTTCCATATATAATGTGCAAGAGTTTAGTCAGACTACCCTCACACCAACAAGTTTACTCAATACTGTTATGCTGTCTTCGATTATACAAATGAGTGAATAGTTACACTGTTCTTAACTCCCCAAGTAAAATATCTGGTTAATTAGAGTTTATCCTCAACCCTATAAAGGAAAATTATAGTTAATTAGATAGTTTACACTATCCTCAACCCTATAAGTGAAAAATATAGTTAATTAGATATTTTACACTATCCTGAACATGAAGGTAAACTAAATATAATATTGTTATTAGGTAGTATTGCACACACCTCAACCTCACACTCAGTAAGTTAGTTAGTGTTACATAGTCCTAACCCCCCACAGTGTTAATAATCATGTTTACACTGCCTTGAAGTACACAGTCTTGAGTTAGATAATGTTACACTAGCCTCATGCCACAGGTAAAACATCTAGTTAATGTAATGTTACACAATCCTCAACCTCACAAGTAAAACATCTGGTTAGTTAAATAATGTTACACTATCCTCAGCCCCACAAGTAAAACATTTAGTTAATTAGATAATGTTACACTGTCCTCAACCCCACAAGTAAAATATTTAGTTAATTAGATAATGTTACACTCTCCTCAATCTCACAAGTAAAACAGCTAGTTAGTTAGATAATGTTACACTGTTCCCAATCACACAAGTTAAACAGCTAGTTAGTTAGATAATTTTACACTGTCCTAAATCCCACAAGTAAAACAGCTAGTTAGATAATGTTACACTGTCTCCAATCCCACAAGTAAAACAGCTAGTTAGATAATATTACTCTGACCTCAATCCCACAAGTAAAACAGCTAGTTAGTTAGATAATGTTACTCTGTCATCAATCCTACAAGTAAAACAGCTAGTTAGTTAGATAATGTTACACTGTCTCCAAACCCACAAGTAAAACAGTAAGATAATGTTACATTTTCTCCAATCCCACTAGTAAAACAGCTAGTTAGTTAGATAATGTTACACTGTTCTTAATCCCACAAGTATAACAGCTAGTTAGTTAGATAATGTTACTGTCCTCAATCCTACAAGTAAAACAGCTAGTTAGTTAGATAATGTTACACTGTCTCCAAACCCACAAGTAAAACAGTAAGATAATGTTACATTTTCTCCAATCCCACTAGTAAAACAGCTAGTTAGTTAGATAATGTTACACTGTTCTTAATCCCACAAGTAAAACAGCTAGTTAGTTAGATAATGTTACTCTGTTCTCAATCCCACAAGTAAAACACCTAGTTAATTAGATTATGTTACACTGTCCTCTCCTCAACAAGTAAAACATCTGGTTAGTTAGATAATGTTACACTGTCCACAAGTAAAACAGCTAGTTAGTTAGATAATGTTACACTGACTCCAATCCCACAAGTAAAACAGTTAGTTAGTTAGATAATGTTACACTGACTCCAATCCCACAAGTAAAACAGTTAGTTAGTTAGATAATGTTACACTGACTCCAATCCCACAAGTAAAACAGCTAGTTAGTTAGATAATGTTACACTGACTCCAATCCCACAAGTAAAACAGTTAGTTAGTTAGATAATGTTACACTGACTCCAATCCCACAAGTAAAACAGCTAGTTAGTTAGATAATGTTACACTGTCCACAAGTAAAACAGCTAGTTAGTTAGATAATGTTACACTGTCCACAAGTAAAACAGTTAGTTAGATAATGTAACACTGTCCTCTCCTCAACCCCTCGGCTCGGACATCTAGTTAATGATTAGTTATTGTTAACATATGGACAATGGACATTTTTGCCATGATACAGTCAGGTAACAGTTAACTTTAATAGTTTGTTAAACTTAGAGTGGGGAGTGGTCCTCTTATATGTACCAGGTTTTCTTGAAAGTGAACCTAGCTAATTTCTTAGTTCATATGTTTTTAAAAATTATTATTATTAGACATTGGTTTATCACACATAATATATGAATAGAACTATTTAAAAAAATGTATTTGTTAGACATGAATTACACACTAACATAAATTGATTATCTGTAAATAAATTAGTATTATAGTGTTGGCTTTTCCGCAGTCATGCATACTTTGCTAGTTATCCTATTTGGCAAACAGCATTGATCTAACACTGTACTCTCACATTTTTCATCTTCTTGATGACTATAAATATGTTTCCATACCATACATTTTTTTTTTAAATTGTCGTCATTTTCTCACTTATCTTTGGAAGACTTGGTGGCCTAGAGGGTAGACGTTTGCCTGCCAGCTCAAAAGTCTGTGGGTTTTAATGTGTATTTAATAAAAAAAATTTAATAACATTGGTTTCCGGGTAGACCCAGCCTGAATAGGGTACCAGGTAACCTTCTGGGACGTAGAGGTGGCCAGCTATTGACCACATTGCCCATCAGTTGCTGATTGATCTAACAAATGTGGGTCTGGCACGATACACCTGTGGCACCATGACGTAAAATGGTCTCCTGTTAAACAATCTTAGATCAGTGTATGATATAGCTTAGGAAAATCTGTGGTGAATATGTGTTTTCAATGGCCTTCGGCCACCCCTGTGAAAGGGTCATTTGACCCACACAAAAAGGGGCGTGACCTAAAGGTTGAGAACTGTTGGCTTAGAACAGTCCACTACTAGTACTTGGCATTTCTTTTTTTTTTGGGTCTCTGTTTGGGACCCCCAACACACACAAAATTGCCATTACTGACTATTTAGCATTTTTGCGGTGTAGGATTGGGGTTTGGGAGGGGGGAGGTGTTTCAGGATTAAAGACCTCATGGATAGTGTTGTTGCGTGGACTGTGCAACTCTTCCTCACTTTAATCCAAGTCACCGCACAAGTCACTCTTTCATCTCTCAGGCCCGCATCGGCCTCATCAGTCATCTTCATACTCATACTTGATGACAAAGAGTGGTCATCATCATCTTGATGGACAACACACACGGGCAGGTTAGGATTTTGTTTTTGCCCTGACAGGAAAAAAGTCCCCAACCTTGCTGAGTACTTGAACCCTTGTCTCCCGCTTGAGAGTCCAAGACTCTAACCGTTTGGCCAACCGCTCCTCCTCTTTAGATCAATACCTGCATTTGTGACTTGGTTAGTATGGCACATTCTGTACAGATCCTACACTAATCTTCTCATGTCTCAACTTACTAGCAAACCTCATAGCTGTTAGTAATCAGAAACTATTGGGGGAGGGGGGTGGGTTCGTTTTGTAATTCTGTTGCTCATTAGTGAGTAGTTTCTACTCAATCACTGATATCTGGTCAAATAATAATCATATAAAGCAGCAGTTTTCAACTTGTGGGTCGCGACTTTTTCACAGGGTCACCAAAGACCATCGGAAAATATATATTCGCAGAAATTATAAGCAGCAACAAAAATAATTGGATGGTTGGGGGTCGCCACAGCATGAGAGAACTGCATTAGGAAGGTTGAGGGCCACTGATAAAAAGCATATTGTAGAGTCTTAACATTAATAACAATTGAGAACATATCTTAGATTGTGTCTGTCTTTCTCAACACGGACTTGGCTGGATCATCTAGCTACCCCGTACAACAGCATTATCCATCATAATCTGAACATGTTGCTCATTAGTGAATGGCTTCGGCTCAGTCACTCGTCTTTCTCTATCATACTTAGTCATCACACACTCAAAAAACAAAGAATATAGTCAAGTCCAAACATTGAAAATAGTTAAGAACATTATTCAGATTATATCTGTCATTGTAAATACTGACCCAGATGGATCATCATCAGATCCAGTCACCCTGTACAACAGATCCATTGTAGACAACATTAAAAACAGTGAGAGGATATTTTAGATTGCATCACTTTTTCTCTAAACTGACCCGACTGGATCAACATGAATACCTATCCTAAACATTGTACCCCTTTCAAAGAAATTCAACAGCATATTGTTTATAAATGTCTGTACTTATCAAGCAAGGGTAAATTACATTATTCTTTGTAAAGTACACTTAGATAATGAATGTGTGGTCCTGGTTAATTATTATTATGATTATTTCTTAACATAACACAAAGCCTTGCATGTGTTGCTTTTTTAGTGTATTTTGTGACTTGATCATTGCTGGATTCATAGGCTGTTCCTGCTGATTCAGAATAGATACTTAAAAGATCCTCGTGTATGTGATGTGTTTCAATGACATGGCATTTTTAGCGCTTTACTTTTTTTGGGAACTAAACCATTTGTCTTTAAGTAAAAGTGGTTCTTAACAGAGCAGACAGGTAAGTCGGGGAATTTCTTGTTTATACGCTGGTATATGAAGAAAGGGACAAGCGGGGGAACGATCAGTATTTTGCAGCGGAAATGCTTCAAGGTGTGTTTCAAGCAGTGAGTTTAACAAACCTTAAATACTCTCTCTCTCTCTCTCTCTCTTGACGTACATGAGTGAACACAAAGATGATGAATGATACTTTCAACAGAATATTTGTGCTTGTATTTCCCCTTCAGTCTAGCTTAGGTTGTTCAAGTACAACCAGAAGAATATACAAAGCACTACAATAGGGATAACGTAGGGGGAATAAAGAAACGGTTGGGTTTTTTTTCAGTAGAATCTTCTAAAAGTATACCATCTCTGCTGGCAAATTGTTTTAAGAGCCTTTTATTGGGGCAAGTGATGCCAGTTTTTCTGTATTTTAATACATGAAACCTTGTGATGATTGACATTAATTACTTTTGAATTAAAAGTAAACTTGCTAGCATGCATAATTTATAGTAAGCAAAGCACTCGTTGTAAACACAGTTAATTTTATTGTCATAGCTTCTGTCCATATTTAAACCTTAATGAATTGAAGAAACAGATCCTGTGATTTCTGCTAGCGATGAGTATTGTACTTGCTGCCTTAGTGCAGTGTTGTGGTCTGGAGCCCTATGCTGGTTTAGTTGAACCATTACACATAGTCTAACTCTAGGTGTTATGGACATTGATACTGCAGATGGCTTTGCACCCACCCACCCACAATATAGTCTTTGTAGTATCCATCATCCCCACAGTTCCTATTTGATATGTTTATCCTCCATACACAAATACATTGTCTTTGTTAGGAAAACTTACTTACAGTACATACAATCTTTATAGACTAGCGTCCATCAGCCAGACAAAATACAATATTTAACTCTTTGAGTCCCAGGGGGTTTAGCATTAGGGGTGGTAATGCAATTTTTTTAATTTCACAAGTGTAATGCGTTAAAACATACTATACGAATTCAGCTGCCGTGCAGAATACACATACATCAAAGTTATACATCAAAGTTACCAAGGATAGTTGGGGAATAATAATAGAATACTGCATTAACAAATAATTATGTTAGTAGTTAAATATTAGCAAATAAATAGATGGTATGGTTACAGAAATTAGTAACATGAAATACTAATTTTTCCACTTACCACCATGGTGCTGAAGGAAAACTCATTGAAATATATCCAAAATAAATCAAAAATGAACATGAACCACTTAGTAATGTATGAGTAAAATATAAACACAGTCTGTGCATTAGATCTGGTCCCATAGAGTCTTTTGAAGTATCATAACAGCACCATTATTTGGTAAAGAGAAGAGAACTTACTCCCCAAAACATTTGTATCTTCAACATAACAAAGTTTATATAACACTCAGTTTGCCTGCAATTGTGTAGCTGTTTTCCTAAACAATCTGGGGGATAGCACTAGAGCTAACTGACACTTCAGAGAATCACCCTTTCTTCCACTGATATTTATTCTATTTGTGCAAGCTGACTTTGCTATCTTTGTACCCTGCACATGAGGTATACATTAGAGCTATCCCTCATCAAAGTTTGACTATATAAATTACTGAAACAAGTCTACTTCACGACATTATCTAGCTTCGGATAAATCTAATAAACACGTGCTGAGGCTTCGAAAGCTGTAAATCATGTTGGCGTGCATGTAAAATACTGCTCGGCGGCCATATTGTTTTAAAACAAACTCTTAGTAACTCAGTAAGCCTTGAAAATACACTATATTTTAGGCATTTAACTACGTTTCCACGCACAAAGTCTGATGATCAGCCTGCCTGATCCCAGACACAAATAACTGGAAAAGTTGTTGTCATTGAGCAGTCCACGTTTTATTACTGGTCATTGATAAATTAAAAACCTTCACTTGTCATGCATCGATTGGGCCGCTAGGTTATAACCAATTAGCACATGACGCACTCTTTGGGACTCAAAGAGTTTAAAAAAAAAAAAAAAAAATTCCGTCACACACACACACACACACACACACACACACACACACACACACACACACACACACACACACACACACACACACACACACACACACACACACACACACACACACACACACACACACACACACACACACACACACACACACACACACCACACACACACACACACACACACACACACACACACACACACACACACACACACACACACACACACACACACACACACACACACACAATACTGTATAATTCCTGGCACTTGCAGTGTTGTAGTCTTTATAATATGCATCAGTGCCACATAATGCGGTCCATGTTAGAGTGACTGTGTTGAATGTGTTTGTTTTAGGGACAGTCAACATGGCACTTATTCATGGTGCTGATTTCAGACAAGAAACATAAACAATCAAGTTAAATCTTATGCCTACTATCTTGAATTGTTATTTTTGTTACATCATTGTACACACATATTATCAGCGTCACATCCCGTACATTGAGCAGTCTTAGTTAAAGATGGATTGAAGTCAGTTTGCCTGCCAGCCAAGTTGTCATCCTTTGAGACTGTGATTGTCTTAACATTGACCTGCCTGCTGGGTCAGTCTCAGCCTAAAATAGACACCAGGGAGGGTTCTGGGAAGTTAAGGCAATTGATGTGATATTGACATCATCAGTTGTAGGCTTTATGTAAATTATGGGTGTAGCATCATGTATCTAGGACTCCTTGTGGGGGTTCTGGGGCCACATTGTGGGGGTAATAGAATAGACCCACTGCCCCCCTTAACAAGCATGTTGTAAAAGTCAACTACTTAAGGGTGTTTCTTTTTAAGTCATAATACAGGCAAAAACTAAAGTTCAGAAGAAGACAACCTGAACTTTCCGCCAGAGTTTGCAGTTGGTGAACCTAAAGAAGAGTAAGAGGAGTATCTAGTACATTAAAAAATGTGGAAAGAGGCCTGTTACCTGTTGGTCAGGCTACCAAGTTAGACTATTGGCTTGTTATAAAGACTGACTGACTAACAACAATCACAGTGCTAATTAGCTAGTTAGTCAAGGCTCCAGCTTTACTGCAAACAGCTCACCCCATGACTGTACCGTTTATATGCCAGTGGAAATCACACAAAATGTCCTCCATTGTCCCATTTGAAAACTTGTCAGTCCCAGCAACATCTTAGAGCTTGCACATGCAAAAAATCACAGTACATGCACACTGGCTGTTTAGTGTGTTTTTTTTTTTTTGCTCTCCCTCTCTCTCTCTCATCCTCATGTACTGCATGCATCATTGATATCATTTTGATTTGATTTCTTGTGAACTACCCTGCAGATATGTTAACTCATATTAGGCTCCAAAGACTTGAATATGATCTGTTCTGCCTTGATTGCACTACAATTGAGTGCCCCATTCTTCAGATATTTGCATGTCAACTGTGTTTGTGTCAAGTAATTTTAAGTCTTGCATTCTCTGTGCAAGAAATATTGGATCAGTTTTCGACTGCAGAAGTTGTAGTATGTTGTTTCTCTAGCATTTCACACATCTAACACTTATTTTAGTTTAGTGCCATTACGGCATACGTGTTTTAAAGTAATATTGACACCTGTTGATGCAAGGTCTCATCCTCTTTGCTAAATTGATATGCAGTGTTATTGAAAATATTGCTGTTTTTCTTCCTTCTGAACCTATTCGCTATTAACAGTTACTGTTTTGTGTTCTCATTTAGTAGAAATATTCTGTACTTCTTGAGTGGAGCTTTGTGTTTGTTGGTAGTGGGAAGTTGACTGTTCTGTTCTGTATAATTTTTTTTTTTTTAAAGTGTGGCTTTGTTTTGAGAATAAGATAATTTAAGAACAGTGATTTCAAGGATATAATTGTTTGAGGCCATTATTAACAATTGTAAATATGTTTACTAACTAATTTGATGTGATAAGTGTCTTGTTTATTGAGCTCAGGGAGTAACATTCTATCCCGTCTATCCTCTGGTCTAGAAACTTTACAGATGCCAGCACAAGATATATCTATATGTATTCATGTGTATGTGAACATGCCACGCAGCTCATATGCCTGGCACAACCTTGTACAGGTCAGAAGTACTTTGTATAAACCTTGCAAAGCTTTAGGAGAAAGTCAGTAAAATTGGCTACATCCCTTGATGGTGTAATTCACTTGCATATCAGTTGATGGCTGTATTTATGTATTTTCTGTTTGTGTATGCATGCCCATATATATATTTTCAATTCTTCTGTATCCAATAGTATTCAATTATGATATAATAATATATCGCACTTTCATGTAATTATGTTCAATCTTCCAATTAGATGATTATGATCGTTGGACTTCCTGGATCTGGAAAGACCACCTGGGCCATAAACATGCAGAAGACCCACCCGGAGAAACGGTACTACATTATTGGCACTGATACACTCATTGACAAGATGAGGGTCATGGGCTTGCCGAGGAAGAGAAATTTCCACGGCCGCTGGGAGGTGTTGATTGACAAGGCCACAAAGTGCCTCAACAAATTCTTTGTGATTGGTAAGTTAGCAGGTGAAGAATGTCATAACTCTTCTTGTTTTCTCATGTATGGAGGTGTTTCATACCTACTTTACATCACACTGGGAGAGCTTTGTGCCAGGTGTTGACATACATTGATCAAAGGTAACAGGCTCTATCCTTCTGTCTGCCAACTGTCAGACTAGCAGAAAAACTGTTTTGGCTTCCTATGCTGATTGCTACCTTACCTCAAGCTGTTGTGAGCTGCAGATTATGTCCTTGTGCCAAGTGTGTCACACTCACTAGTGTGAGCCTGTGTTGTGAGGTGTTACGGTCCATCTGCTCTTTGTCTTGTTCATCCTCTGTGACCCATTCTTCTACGGTTGTATGCATACAGGGGTAGTTTAGCAAGTTTCGTTCTTTTTGCCTAAATAAAATACCTTATCTGCCAAATCACTATATTATTTTCTTTAAAAAATGTAGATGTTGTGCCTAGTTGTTCATCATCATATGTCATGCTATTAAACCCTAATACAGCTGATATTTTTTAATGAATAAATGAACTGTTAAAGAGCTTGTTGAGTATCACCAATCTCCTCCTCCTCCTCGTCTGGTCCTGTTCTGCCTTTCAGTGCCAGGTTTTGAAGCGGCATCAGGTGCACACCTTGGAATCTGCTGTGGAGATGCTGGTATTTACGTTTGTGTGGTTGACCTCTAGCTCTGTTCCATTGTGTCATTATGTCTGAGTTACGGGGCTCTCTGTGATGCAGTGTTTGTTGGTAGCCTTGTCACATCTCTAAACCAATTGATTTGTTGTATCTTGATGTAGTTCAGTACTGGTTCCACCCCAACTTCTTTCCTGAAATCCTCATTTCTGACCCTGTCTCTTCTAGTTACATTTAGAATTAGTCGTAGGCTTTTCATTTCTGTTGCTTAGCTAAGGAAGGTGCAACTGAAGAACAACCTGACATCCCAGTCTCTTATCAACAGAAGAAGAGAATAATCAAATCAATCAGAATGCCACAGAAACTGGCACAAGACGATTTACCATATCATGGACAGACCAGAGCAAGTCATTATCCTTCGCTTTAGAACAGGGCACAATCAACTTCACTGCCACATGTACAAAAAATTTAAGATTGGCCAATCAGCCATGTGTACCTGTAGACTGGCACCTGAGACAACAGATCACATCCTCCAAGACTGTCCCAGATTCAACGCTTCCAAGCAAAACTTCTGGCCAAAAGAGACACTTGTGGAAGTCAAACTTTACGGGCCGCTTAGTGAATTACAAAAGGCAGTGAAATTCATACTAGAGACAGCATTGCAGATATAGATAATTTATTTCATGCGAACGAAAGAAAAAGAAGATTTCTGTTGTTTCATTTTTTTTTAATTTTATTTTATCGTTAATGTCCACTCTGTGAACAAAATGCAGGTAAAAATACTCTGTTGAATAATGCTCTTTTGGTGTCAGTTGTTGCCTGTTTGTTCTGCATTGGTAACATTTGTCCAATGATTTGATTTGCTTTAACAACAGTCAAAAGCACAAATGTAACTGTACAACTTAGGTGAGCAAAATTATCGATGTCTTGATTCCAACAAACCATGAATAACTATGAAAGTATTACTAATGGATAATCTAAATTATAAATTTAAAACAAGCCTTATATGTCTGACACTGGGTGTTTACTGTCTTTGACAAGGACAGTACAGACAAATAATATTATAAAATAGGAATAACATATGCAGGAGATACATAAAATTAAAAAAAAAAAAAGATAACTGCTGGAGAGTGTCAAACTTCTGCGTATTGAATGTTTAATCGATATTACAGCACTCGTACACTCCCATAAGTGCTCAGTCCCCATCTTCAGCAGCAAGCAAAGAGTTCAAATTCCAATGGTACCATTAACCGTCTGATTGTATATCCGCCTCATCCTTCCCCTAGGTGTTGAGCGTCGGCCAGATTCCCTGGTTTTTGCATGTAGAAATGTTGTTCTATCATACTAATATGAAGCCAAAGCAGGGTAAGTAGAACTGACTCTCTGCTTTCTGTGGTTGTGGCACCACATGCAAAGGCCGGCTTACCAGACGCAGGAAACAAGATACACATTGGTAATTTCTATGGCGTCTACGAGGAAGGGGGGGGGGGGGGGGGGGGGGGGGGGGGTTTGTTAACCCTTTCACCTTGCGATTGCTTCAAGAGAAAAAAAGGTCATGAACCAACGAGAGTTACAAGGAAAATATCTTTAAGAAACTGCCATTTTACCTAGACCTCTAATAAATTTGTTATAATCTATCTGTATAGATTTAAACATTTTAAAAAGAAACATATAAAGATATATAAAAGGCACCACCAGTAAATGGGAACAGAGTGAAGCATTAAATGGAATACATTTCCTGGGTCCTAAAAAACAATATGATTGGGTGACTCGTGTTACTCCCCTGTAACCTCTACCATTGAGGTTTATAAGCCATTGTGATCATAAGGAATGGTCTCCCCCAATGCTATTTTTAGTTAATATATCCATATCCTACCTATTAAACATTTACAGGAATGTAGCTTTACATGAAGTTACTGGAGTTAACCTTCTTGGGGTGTTAGGGGTAATGTGTGTTGTTGTTATTTTTTTAAATTATTATGAAACTGTTCAGTTAGTGTTCAGACCATTGTCTCCTTAAACAACACAATACAGTTAGTAACGTTAGTTGCTTGGGGCCATGGTCCTGTTATTTTTAAAGCAATAACTAGGAGCATTTGATGACACTTGTGACACTTTCTGGTTATTTGTAGCTGCCAAGCGCAGAAGAAACTACATCCTGGATCAGACTAATGTGTATGGTTCAGCACGTCGACGGAAGATGAAGAACTTCACTGGCTTTTACAGGATAGCTGCTATTATCCAGCCTGATGATCCCGAGCTTGAACGCAGATCTAAGAAGAGAACACAAGAGGAAGGTTGGTATTCTTTCACATTCATTGCTGATTCACTGATGTGAAGATTAACATAGCACACTAGGCATACATATTAGTGCTCTGTCTCCGCAGCAAATAACTTAAAAGTGTGGATTCTGATTATTCCAGTAGCGTACTGGTTGTTCACACGTCCGTATCTGCCTCTCACACATCCTTTCTTGCTAGATCTACATTATCATCAGTCAGCAGGTCCTTTACTGAAGGTCACTCTCATCACACTCGCCTGAAAGTCACTGTTTCTCTTGTCAGTTTTCCACCACTGTGTGCGTTCCTAGCCATTGCATCTTCAGTGATTTGTGTCTACATTTGTAGAGGTCTACCTCTGCCTCAATTTCCAAAAACTGCCATCCATCACTGTTCTCTTCAAACCTCAATGACTTTTAACATGCCCAAAATTCTCCAGCTTTTAGGACAGTATGCTGTTAATGAGCCAGTTCTCCTTGATTGGCTAGATCTGCATATAACTACACATTCATGCAATCTTACACATGCTTTTCCATCAGACATTGTGTTTTTCATCAGCCTTCTTTCATGTGTAGTCTGTCTTATTTATTTTGAGAGGAACACCCTTTTAGCTTGGAGGTTGCTTGAGAATTGTTAATAAATGTTCCATTGCACAAAGCGTGGGACATTACCCAGCAAAACAAATGTGTAGCCAATGGGCATCCCTGTGGAGTATAGAATTTGCAGATAAAAATTTGCTCATGTAGAATTTAATGCAAGGGGACAGCAAAAAGAATTTTTTTTTTCTCTAATGTGGAATTGTGGGTGAGGTAAAGAGTTTGGTAGGTAAAGGTAATCAGTGTCATCATCACCTGCCTTGATAGATGGTGTCTCTCCACAAATCTCAGTCAATGATGTTGGGATACTCTTCCATATCATATATGTGTGCAGGTACACACGGATGCATGCCTCTGTGTGCGTATGTGTGATTTTTGTGCTTTGTTTTGCGGTGCAGAAGCAGCCATTTCGTTTACCAAGTCCCTTCTTGTGTTGTATGTAAGACTTTCTTTGATTGGTTGAAACTGGGAGTGGAAACTAGAGTCCTTGAGAAAACTAGTCATTTACTTTTTTGCCTTTATGTAAATTACAACATGGACTAGACTTTAAAAAAAAAAAGAACTACAATTTCTAACAACTGGGCTACACTAAAAAAATATTATAATTTAAAATCAGTTGTTAAAAAACTGATTTATGACAGTTTGAAAATTCGGCATTTACACAAGAAATGCATTATTGCGTGCAGAAATGAATAAGTAAGCTTTCATGTAGTGTTTAAAATAGTTTTTTTTTTTTTTTAAAGTTGACATTTCAAAATTGTGGAGAAAATAGTTTGCACAGTTTTACCTGCACTTAAACAGGTGTTGATCATCCAGCAGTCATATGTGTCATTGTTGTTTTCCCCGTTGTCTTTTTGTAGGAAAAGTGGTCCCAGAGTCAGCAGTGCTGGAAATGAAAGCCAACTACTCCATGCCCGATGAGCGGGACAATCTGTTTGATAGAATTGATTACATAGAGCTGCAGAAAGAAGCCGTGAATCAGCTGCTCAGAACGTAAGTGCCAACTTCTGTCCAGTTTCCTTGTGTCTAATGTCTGAGCCCTGTCACCCTTAGACGCCACAAAACTGACACTTCTAGAAGGGTCCAGTTAGTTCCCTTAAGTGTCATCTTACCAACTTGGCTGTTGTGGCTGGTTCACGAGAAGCATAATGGCAGTGGTATTGAATTCACCCACGCAGATGTGGGGAAGGAATGTCTATCATGGGGGGGGGGGGGGCTTGTAAACGAATAGGTTTTGATATAAATTATGATGTTATTGTTCCCAGTACACTTTGTGTTACCTGGTGACCAGGTCAAATAGGAGTCATCATGTAACAAATAAATTTCTTATAGGGATAATTAAGGTAATTCTGTGCTGTATTTATGTTTGCTGATGATAACTCCTGGTTTTGTACAGAAATTAATATTGTTTTGCTTCATAAATAAATTTATTAGGAATTTGTTTGGGACTTCTTTAAGGATCTCTTCTCATTTGAGTTAAATGGCAGAATAATAAAGAGGTATCTGTCAGTTATTGTTAAAGAAGATTTAGAGAACATGTCGCAAATTGGAAAATTAAAGGTGTGGAGATTTGAAAGGTCCTAAATGGGTTGATTAATGATAAAAAGAACTAAATTGTTGACACTGGTACAGGTCAATTCAACTGGCGGCCCGCGGAGGCCTAACAAATGGCCCATGGAGGCCTAACAAATGGCCCACAAATGATTACCAGTTGTATTAATGATCTTTCTATTCTGAGGCTGAGACCTTTTTTCATTGATGATCATTTTTGCAGAGTTGACCCCTGGGTAAAGTTAGTTGAATAGCCCTAGTTTAGTACATGCCAGGGAACATTATTTCCTGAAAGTTGTGGCTGTCGTGTTATCACAGTCGACATCACTGCACATTAATCCTTCAGTGCAGCGGCAAGTCTAAGGGAACTGTTCCCATAAACACTTGTTTTAATGGCTTTTAGCACCCCGAAAATGGCACCACAATGCTTCACCAGGCTTTACTCCCAGGTTATGTGATTGTGTTATTGTCAGATATCTGTCATTTTCTACCAGATCTGCTAGTTGATCTGCTCATTCATTACCTTTTACTCTGTCCTACACGGGTTGTCCAAGTGAGGAAGCTTAAGTGCAACTTCTTAATTATTTCTATCCATTCAGAACACAGATCACCTCTTGATATATTTTATAGCATGTTTATAGAGTCTGATATGATCACTTCATTTCCTCTATGGGTTCCGTAGCCCTACTTTAGAAATTATAATAATTATGGGAGCTTCCTTCGAAGTCGGAGTGCATCTGCCTGAGAGGCGAAGAACTGACAGTCTGAATATCAAATGGATATGCGCACAAAACTCAAGTTTTAGAAAGAGACTAATGTTTAGATTTGGATGAACAGCCATACATTTCTGCCAGAGTTTACAGCTAGTGAGCACAAAGAAGAAGAAGAAGATTACTTCATGTGTGGCTGCTTGTTCTGCTGCCTTTGCATGCACTCTAGAAGCAGCAGTTATCTTCTTGGTTTTGGCTATTTAATTTTCAGGGTGCTTTTTTAATAGTTGTGTGTTGTGTTTTTATTTTTGTTTAGTTCAATACCTTTAAGCTTATACTTTGTGTGTTTTTTTTCTTTCTCTCAGATATAACCAAGAAGGAAAGTCAAAGTCCAGACAGGATAGATTTGATGGAAACAAGAGCCAGGAGGTAAGACCGTATGTTCTAATGTTTTCTAAGGCCTAAAGTAACAACCTTGTCACAAAGTTTCTTCATTTTTCTTTTCATTTTATCTTTCTTCTCATCTTCCTCCCACTTTCTTTGCCTCCACTACCATTTCTATGGCATAATATTAGGAGAAGATGTAAGAATCTTTTGTGCTTTCTCTAATGTACTGTTTAAGTTGATCCTAATTGTTCTAAGTTTTGTATTGTTGCAACACTTTCATCATTAATTAGCTCTTTGCTCATTATAATTCATTGGGATGGCATGCCAGTTAGCACCAAGGCATTCTTACCAGGTGGCCAATCCATTCAATCTGTTATTTGAGGAACTGTGTAATTGTTTTCAATCCTAATCTTCTTATTTCTTCTTTGTTAATTTGTTTTTCTCCTTTTTACTCTGAACTGACTGTTCTTTTATCCTTTTTGTTATATTTGTCTGAGTTATAATAAGGGCCTGTGTTTCTTCTTTTTCCTCATTCACTGACTGTAAACTCCAGTGGAAAGTTCTGGCTGTTCCTCCACGTCTGGAGTTAAGTCTGGTTCTAGAACTTTTTTTGCATGCACATCCATTTTACAGATCTGGCTTATTTGTATGCAGACTGTTGGTTCCTTGCCTCTAAGGCAGATGCACACTGCCTTTGAAGGAAACTCCTAATCAGTCGTCTCTTACAACATGCTTGTTAGGGAGGCAGTTGGTCTATCCTGGGTTCCCCCACAGTGGGGGCCCAGAAACCCAACCAGAGAGGGCTCAAGTGTGATTTGTAAAAATATATTTCTACCAGAAAATAGTTCTTACTTAATGTGCCTTGATTGTCACTGTTGCTAAAACATGTGATTTAAACACCAAGCATTTGATTAGACTCTATAGTTTGAAGGTGTTAGAAGTCAGGATTATCATAATTTTTTTTTCCTGGGTTTTATCCCATATGTCCGCATTTGTGGCTTAGGCGTTGGCCCTTCTGTTCGCTTCATATATAGTACTTTTCAGTGTCTCTGATATTTCTGCGGTCCGTCTTCAGCACCATGCCGACCTCTGGCTCTATTACCTTTTAAACTCTAGGCACTGTTTATCAATCCAGGCACGGTTTATAATTCCAAGGTACCCGCTTTGTTCCAAACTATAGGCTGATTTAGCATTGTTTTTGACAATGGTAGATGTTGAGAGATGACCCTTCACAAATCAGCAACAAACAACTGAATGGCATGTTTGGCATCTAGCGCTTGACCTGTATTTTATAGAGCAATCAGCACTCGGTGGGTGATGTTGTCAACATCATGTCGGTTACCTTGACTTCCCAGGACTTCACATGGTATTTATTTACAGATGTGTCGACCTGGTAGCAAGGTCACTCATTTAAAAAAATTAAAGTTCTGCCGCGTCAGGACCTGAGCCCACAACCTTCTGATCCACAGGGAAGTGTCTAGCCGCTACACCTGAGCAGTTCCCACGGAAAGTAAAACTGTCTAGTGAAATTAGCAGCCAGAAGATGCTGGGGTTGGTTCTACAACATCCTTAGAGGATTCACAGCTAACTTTGAAAATAAAATCTTGTAAGGCTCGCCTGATTGTCTCCTGAGAGCATCGCACAAAACATAGATCAGGCATAGATCACCAGGTATCTCTAAATCACTTGCACTCATAAAAACAACATCGAGATAGAAGCCGAACCTACAGTCTTCAGAGTGTGAAGCACCAACCAACGAATAAATGACAGTCACCATCATCTATGTGAAGGGGTTTCTATGGCAAAGTGATCAAACCATACAGTGTTGGGTTGATTTTATGGCCCAGCCGTTAATATTTATGAGTGCAGTTTTTATGGAGGTACCTGGTTCTTGCCATCAGAGTTATGGAGTTTATGCTCTGGGCAACACTTGGCTGGCAGCTAGCCATTCTGCGCAGAGAGGCCGAGCCATATGGGATAAAATCTGGTGCAACATGTCCCTCTCTTTTCATGGCTTGCCAGAACTGGACTTGGTCCCCTTCCAGCTTTTTTGTCTCTTGAACTGTTGTGTCCAGTGTCCCTGATATCCTGTGTCCACAGTCAAACTGGTCAACCCCTACCTCATGAACTGTTGACAAACAACCCCCCGCCCCTGTTTAAAAAAAAATGTGCACTGTGTTTTATTTTTATCTTAAGGGAATGTCTTTTTTTTTCTTTCTCATATTGAGAAATCTACATTTATTCATGTGCAAAATTCTAAATTGGTTCATATATATGTCATCTCTTTTGTTCTGTTGCATCGTCATTTGTGTTCCCTTAAGTGTACCATTAAATCAAGTGTTAATTGAAGACTTGCTAGACAGGTGTAGCCCACACACACAAAAAGATGAGACAAGAACGATGGCATGCATGAAAGCAGCGTGAAATTGCTGGCACCTCAGTGCTACTTCTTTGTTTCATACGAGTGTCATACCTAGAATTATGAACCACATCTGTGCATTATCAAGTTATGTCTGTATGCTGACTGGCCATTCAGCAGTAAGTCTTATTTTAGCTCAATCTCTTTACTAGAACCTACTTTTTAATATAGTGGTTAAATTAAAAGCATCTTGACAAATTGAGCCAGGGCTTTTTTTGGGGTGTGTAGGTCCTAATTTTGGGGAAACGCTGTTTCTTTCATGTAAAGATGTTTCAGTATAATTGATTTTTTATCAATAGGACCAGAGGCAGTTGCAGTATGGTGGCTATGGCCTGCAGAGCTATGGGAGATCTGATTCTCTGGACAAGGACCCTTTGGTCAAGCGTGAATTGTGGTACCATGATCAGGATGAGCCGCCTGCTAAACGCAGTAAGTCAGATGCCACCAGCGCCCTAGAACTTCTCAAACAGCAGTATGAAGAGGAAGAACGTCAACCCACTCTACAGCAAGTAACACTTGTGGCCTCCCCTGCTTGGTCAGACCACACTAAGGTGAAAGAAGAGCCAATTACAACAATAACTTCAGCTCAGTGGCCTCCGGCTGGTCTCCCTCCAGGCTACCCACAGGGTTTGGTACCATCTCATCTTCATGCCCCCGCCTTCCAGCCAGGACTCTTAGGAGCTCCACCAGGCCTCCATCCTGGGGTCCAGTTTGCGTTTTTCCCACCAGGGATGCCGCCTCCCACAGCCTCCGATCTTGCAGGGCTGAACTTAGCTGCTAAATCTTTGGAAGACTCCCCTGCCCACTCTGCGGCTCAGGCTCATGCCCAAGCACATGCACAGTTGGCTCATGCTCAGGCTGTTGCTGTGCATGGCCAGCTTCTGTTAGATCCCTCCAAGCTTCAAGCAGGAAGCCCCTATGCTTTAGTTGGCCCGGCAAATAGTCAAAGTCTCTATGGTGCTGCCCCTCCAGGATATGAATCCTTGGTTGGTCAAGATACCAGTCGTCAGGTTTGGCAGCAGGCTGCAGAACATGCTCAGGCTGCTCATTTGCAGGCTTTTGTTGCAGCTCAGCAACAAGCCGCAGCCCAGCAACACGCTGCAGCCCAGCAACACGCTGCAGCCCAGCAACACGCCGCAGCCCAGCAACATGCCGCAGCTCAGCAGCAAGCTGCAGCCCAACAGCAAGCCGCCGCAGCCCAGCAGCAAGCTGCAGCACAGCAGCAAGCCGCCGCAGCCCAACAGCAAGCTGCAGCACAGCAACAAGCTGCCGCTCAGCAGCAAGCAGCGGCACAGCAGCAACAGCAGCAGCAACAGATTCAGCAGATAATTAGACAGCATGAACAAGAGCAGAAAACACAAGGTAAACCATGGCGGCAGGAACCTGCCACCACACCTTCATGGCAGTCGAAGCAAGGGGATGAAAGAGATACGGATAAGAGAGGTGGTGGAGGCAGAGAGCCATCCTTCGGCCGACCTGACTCCAGGAATAGAGACAGAGACCGGGATAACCGAGACAGAGATCGTAATCGAGACAGAGATTATGGTTACAACAGAAATAAAAACAATGATAGAGGGTATGGCAGAAATGACCAAGATCGCCGTGGCGGAGGAGGTGGTGGTGGCGGCGGAGGAGGAGGTGGTGGCGGCTACAACCGTGACTCTGGATCATCCTGGGTCAACCAAAACTATGGTTCAAACACATCCGATCAGCAGGACTTTGATTCTGGAAAGCAAGACCGACAAAGGAAACGGAAGTCTAAATGGGACCAGCCTGTGGAAGAAGATGGCCCATCCCCCGATGAGATGAAGCAGGAACCAGAAGGCCACCCATTCAGTCAGCCTCAGCCTGTACAGAGCTTGTTTAATCAGCCTCCTCCAGGCTTTCCTGGGCTGCCCTCATCTGTCTCATCCAGCCAGTCAAACCACCCTCCTTCGGGCTCCTTACCTGTGAGTTCTCAGGGTAACAAACCACCACCTTCATTCGATGGAAACTTTTCCAGACCACCACCACCACTGCTAGGAAATCTCAAGCCTGAACTGTCACCTTCGTCAGAGAATCCCAACATCCCTGAAGCTAAACATCCGGGCTCTAAAGGTGGAGATGGTCTATTAGGTCAGGGCCCGGGTCCATTAGGTAAAGGTCCAGGTCCACTGGGTCAAGGTCCTGGCCCACTGGGTCAAGGTCCTGGCCCATTGAGTCAAGGCCCTGGTCCATTGGGTCAAGGTCCTGGCCCACTTGGTAAGGGTCCTGGTCCATTAGGTCAAGGTCCTGGTCCGTTGGGTCAAGGTCCTGGTGGCCCAAGGCCACTAATTCCAGGACTCCAGGGCGGTCCTCCAGGTCAGCTGAGGCCGAAAGGCCCTATGCCTGGCTCCCCACCTCCCAGACAGCCGCCTCCAGGGGGGATTGATTCCATGCCACCCAAAAATGCTGACAACCCAAATAATGCCAGAAAGCCATTCTCACCAGACCACAAGCCAAATAAAGGTGCAGGTGATGGTAATGAAGAAAGAAATAATCGTAATGAGGACAGAAATAATCAGCCGCCCCCAAAACCACTCATTAATGCTGAAGATAAGATGTCAGAGCCTGAAAATGCCCCAGACAAGGGAAACGGGGCTGGTCCTGGAAATCAGTCGCAGGGTGGACCGGGAAAGCCAGGATTGTTCCCGCACCATGGACCCCCAGAAGGCGACATGGGACCATCAAAAGGTCTGCCTTTCAAGCACAGAGGGCCGTTTGGGCCGATGGGGAGATTCCCCGGGCCCCCTAATGGCCCTCCACCACTGTTTGGCCCAGGCATGCTCGGCCCAGGCCCGCCACCTTCTAACATGGGACCCAGACCTCCAAGAGGTGGTCCTATGGGTCCGAGAGGGCCGCCACCTCATGGCGGCTCAATGGGCGGCCCACCAAACCGGCCGATGGGCGGCCCCCACCATGGTCGCGGCCCTGGACCCTGGAATCAGAATCGTCCCAGATTTGGCCCTCGCGGGCCTCAGGGTCCGCCAAGGCCACTCTTTGACGGCCCGCCTGGTAGATGGCCAAGACAATCAAGATAAGAGTCTACCCACATGATTGTAATGTTACTGAACTGGCACATATAGAATGATAGCTTTGTGTAAACATATTTGACTCTGCTCATTCTTCAGTCTTATATAAAACCCATGTGATTTGTATTTATTCTCACAAGCTGTGTGTTGTCATCAGACTGTTACATTGTTTCCACACCTGGTGTTGAGCATTCTTTCTTTCATCTGTAATTACTATCATATTAGAGGCTGCAAGACTAGTTTTTTTTTTTGTAGAAAAGGAGTATGTTGCTGTGTCCCCCCCCCCCCCCCCCCCTTTCCCCTCCCCGACCCCACCCGTGCCTAGAAGTTATTCAAAATATTAAGGACCACGATCTGTGGAGAGACTTGAGTGCCTACGCCACCTGGCAGGTACCTAGCAGGGCACATGATGATGATGATAACGAATTCCTGCTAGTACTGTCTTGTGCTTGCAGTTCGTTGTAGAATCTGAATGTGTGTACGTGATGACACTCTTTCTGTCCCAGTAAGTGGTTTTTAAACATTTTTTTTTTTAAAAATCCATTTTGTCCTAGTTTATTGTTTAAACTTCTAACTCATGGCTCGGCACCCAGGTGTTGCCTTGACTAATTCACTTCTAATTATTGCTTGAACTGTTGTCTCAGTCAGGTATCACATTAATCGGTTCACGCCTATTTATTGCTTTGGGACAGAGTGCATTTGTCTGGGGTTGTTTTTTTTTTTTTTTTATACTAAGGGGATTGGCATGATTGCACTGTGCTTACAAACCAGAGAGAAATGAGAGACTTCAGAGAATCTGTTTAGGTATTGAAAGATTGTACTTAGGGAAGAGGGTATTATCCATTTAGACTGCATTGTGTGGGCACTACAATTGTGTGTACACTAAAATAGCGTACACACCTGTGTAATAATTTTTAACTAAAGAGGAATAGGTGAACCTTGACAGTTAATTTTTAAATAAGAGTGAACGAACGAACTTTATTTTCAAAGGGTCACAAGTTGGGCACCAGGCATTTAACAGAATGGGCAGGGTGCAGACAACAAGGTAATGTGTAGATCAGGGAGAGGAAGAGACTAACCTAGACAGTTAATTTTTAAATAAGAGAGAGAGAACCAGGCATTTAACAGAATGGGCAGGGTGCAGACAACAAGGTGATGTGTAAGGAGAGGAAGAGACTAACCTAGACAGTTAATTTTTAAATAAGAGAGAGAGAGCCAGGCATTTAACAGAATGGGCAGGGGTGCAGACAATAAGGTGATGTGTAGATCAGGGAGAGAAAGAGATTAACGTAGACAGTTAATTTTTAAATAAGAGAGAGAGAGAACCAGGCATTTAACAGAATGGGCAGGTGTGCAGACAAGAAAGTGATGTGTAGGGAGAGGAAGAGACTAACCTAGACAGTTAATTTTTAAAAAAGAGAGAGAGAGAGAGACCCAGACATTTAACAGAATGGGCAGGGTGCAGACAACAAGGTAATGTGTAGATCAGGGAGAGGAAGAGACTAACCTAGACAGTTAATTTTTTAAAAAGAGAGAGAGAGAGACCCAGACATTTAACAGAATGGGCAGGTGTGCAGACAACAAGGTAATGTGTAGGGAGAGGAAGAGACTAACCTAGACAGTTAATTTTTAAAAAAGAGAGAGAGAGAGAGACCCAGACATTTAACAGAATGGGCAGGTGTGCAGACAACAAGGTAATGTGTAGATCAGGGAGAGGAAGAGACTAACCTAGACAGTTAATTTTTAAAAAAGAGAGAGAGAGAGAGACCCAGACATTTAACAGAATGGGCAGGTGTGCAGACAACAAGGTAATGTGTAGGTCAGGGAGAGGAAGAGAAAACATACTCAGAGAACACTGTTTTAGACAGATTGTGTCTTTAGAGAAAATCCCTCTACATCGTGGACTTCTTGTGGTTTTAATGATTTACAATGTTTTTCTTGTCATGTTTACCTGCTTGTTAGACTGTTTGGCTTTTATATCATTTGTCCATCATTATTGTACCTGTATGTATAGACATCAATATGTCTAACTTTAATTTAATAACGGGGGAAAAGGTCAGGTGTTGCTTGTGGACTGTACAAAGTGCTGTTGGTCTGTGTCTCTCTCAGTACGTTCTTTATAATAATTCACTGCTTATTGCAGAGCTTTCCAAACTGTTCATGTTGGTGTGAAACACTTTGTAGACAGACATCATTTTGCGACACAGTAATTTAGTCTGCTTAGCGCAGCAGAGGTTAGACTAGACTCTTATAAGAGATATGGGCACACCTTCAGACTGCAGCTGACACACTGTGTCGCAACACAAAGTTTTGAAAGCTAAGCTTGGGGCTTAGTGTACACGTATATAGTTATCTTGTCACTGTCTTTTTTAACATATATTTAACACATATTGTGTTGGTTCTGTTCCCCTGACTGATATATGTAGATGAATTATGTTACTTTGTGTGATTCTGTTGTTTTAAATTACTGTAAGATCAGCATTGTTTGTTTTAACTGACTAATTATGGTGAAGACATGAAGTGCAGACAGTGCTGAAAGGACATGTTAACCTGTTGCAGTCAAGAATTGCTTGTTATTAGGTGTGACTGAGCCACTGAAATGCTCACATGTGGGTAATAAACAATTCCTGGCTACATCTCTTGGAGGCAATAAACAATTTTTAGCTGCGTCTCTTGGAGGTAATAAACAATTCCTGGCTACGTCTCTTGGAGGTAATAATTAATGCCTCATTACGTCTCTTGGAAGCAATAAACAGTTTTTGGTTACATCTCTTGGAGGTAATAAACAATTCCTGGTTACATCTCTTGGAGGTAATAAACAATTCCTGGTTACATCTCTTGGAGGTAATAAACAGTTCTTGGTTACATCTCTTGGAGGTAATAAACAATTTCTGGTTACATCTCTTGGAGGTAATAAACAATTCCTGGTTACATCTCTTGGAGGTAATAAACAGTACTTGGTTACATCTCTTGGAGGTAATAAATAATTCCTGGTTACATCTCTTGGAGGTAATAAACAATTCCTGGTTACATCTCTTGGAGGTAATAAACAATTCCTGGTTACATCTCTTGGAGGTAATAAACAATTCCTGGTTACGTCTCTTGGAGGTAATAAACAATTCCTGGTTACATCTCTTGGAGGTAATAAACAGTACTTGGTTACATCTCTTGGAGGTAATAAACAATTCCTGGTTACATCTCTTGGAGGTAATAAACAATTCCTGGTTACATCTCTTGGAGGTAATAAACAATTCCTGGTTACGTCTCTTGGAGGTAATAAACAATTCCTGGTTACGTCTCTTGGAGGTAGTAATCAATGCCCCGTTACGTCTCTTAGAAGCAATAAACAGTTCCTGGTTACATCTCTTGTCAGTGATATAAAAAGTCCTGGTTAGTTTGCAATCGGCAGCAATGTTTTTTGTTTTGTGTCTGCCTTGATACTGCTGTGGCTTTTAGGTAGTCACTAGCATTATTTCAATGATTTGTGCAGCTAGGATCGAATATTTGTCCGACACTGAAATGATGCAATAATATTTACATTTGTAAGACAGAAAAAAAGCCAAAGTTATTGTTGATTTCAAAATAATTTTTCTTTTGATACCTACCACAGTATAATTGTACTTGATTGGCTGGCTTGACAGTGCAGTCAATCACAGTTAATTAATCAGTGTCTCAGTTAAGCAGATTATTGGCGTTTTATAACAGCTAACTAGTTTGCTGACCAACAATAAGGGTCAAGGTTTGGTTCCCAGCTATGCTATGGCTTGCTTTTACTCACATCAGTGTGGCTCCGTGTTGGACAACACAGTCACGAGATTATTTCTGGACCTTTCTGGAAGGGAAATAAGCCATCCTGTGATGCCGTGACCTTGTATGTGTGAGCACATCACACTGACAAAAGAATCTGCTGCAGGATTTCCTTAATGATACTACACTGCAGGATTGAACACTTAACCAGAAAGCGTAACTCGACAGAAATCTTTAAATATGTGAGCGTTTTTTGTCACTGGAGACAAAAAAATCAGGCGTAAGGAAGAGAGATTGGAGACCAGTGGACGAGGCACTGTTGTTTTGTACAACTTTTCTATCAAGAGACAGACAAGGCAAGGCACTGTTGTATTGTGTAAATCTTTTTTTTTTATCAAGTGACATGTAGATTTGTCACTGTTGTACAACTTTTCTACCAAGCAGCTAACTTTGGATTATGGCTTAGAAGTAGATAAAAACAGCTGGAAGAGTCAGTGGACATAATCCTTTAAATATATGATCATTTTAGCTTTGCAAGAGAAAAGATAAGTGAGACAGGTGACTTAGCTTTGTGAAGATGAAATATACCAGGCAATGTACATCTGCAGGCCATGGTTGCATGTGCATAGAGGTTAGTTGAGTATCCTTTACAGGACATTGCAGAACCAATCCCAACAGCCCCTGGCTGTTGTGTGGTTTTTCTAGGCAAATTTACATCCAGTAGTTTGCCATTGCTTTCTGGACCGTCAGCTTTCTTGATACCACTGTCAAAACCAATGCAAGGCGCGTGGCCCGCAGCTGGGATCGAACCCGGCATTACGAAGCGTTCGCATCGACTTAGCCACAGAGCCGACTGCATGTGCATAAGTGTATAATATATCATGAGGAGAACTTATGAAGGGAATAGTCAGTTGTAAGAATGAATATTGATCAATAAATGTGGTCTTCGCATTTGATTTCTTGTTGCTTCTGTTTTTAATGGATGGATTTTGTTACGCATGAAGGTGATGTGACCTGTGACATTGTCTACAACTGGTGATTATGTAGTGGGATCAACTTTGCACTGCTGAAGATGTGTGACCTATGGTTCTGTGCTGCAGGAGGTTTCTGACAGTTGCTTCTGTGTTGTTGATCATCTGACCACTGGTAAAGATCCTTGACGTGTCATTTTGCAGCACTGAAGATGATAACCTAGGTTGTTTATGTGGTTGGTGTTCATAACTTAAACGACCCATGTTATGCTGATGACACAATCATGATAG